CCCCCCCTTCGCCGCCCTCACCTGAAACAGCAGAGACAACGCCTGCGTCGTTGTCGCGAACCCCCCGGTGTGCGCCACCCTGAAGAGCGACGCCGTCCTCCCCTCAACCCCCGGGTCCCCCGGAGGAAGGTAAGGCCTCGCGCGGTTGACGCCCGTCAGGAGGGCCGAGAGCAGCTTCGCCCCCGACCCCCCGGCATAGAAGGAGGCGTTTTCTTCGTTCTTCTTCCCGTGCTGCTGCTTGCCCCTGTCCTTCTTGCCGTCGCTTGCTGAGGAGGAGGAGGAGGAGGAGGAGGAGGTGGCTCCCTCGAAGAGGCGGAGGTAGGTTTGCACGAGGGTGGAAGCGATCGCTCCGTCCTCGCCGGCAGTGAGGTACACCTGTTTTTTTTTCCGTTTTTTTTTTTTCACGACATTTGTTTTTTTGAGACAAGAATCACATACAATCACAGAGAGACCACCAGTTCTTGTGTTGTCGTTAACAAAAAAAAAGGCAAAAGGTTCACCGAACGGGTGAAGGTAGGCACGTACCGGTGGTTGACAAGGTGAAGTCTGAAACCAGGGGTATGCATCCTACACAAGTATGTATTGCATGTTGCCAACAAAATAAAAATCTCACCAGAGAGGTGCAAGTGTTCGAAGGTATGCATACAAATAGACACGAGACGGTGGCAGCGCAACCCTGCACATTCAATGCCAAAAACGCCTCAACAGACTTATTTCAGGGTGCAAATAGACCGAGATGATGGTATAATAGCGCAACCAGCACATTTCCTCCTTCCTTGTCCACGACAGAGTCCCTCTGGACAGCGCTCAAGGGGGGTCCACGACAATCATCGCTCATCACCTGGTTGAGGAAGATGATGCCGGCGTAGACGGCCTTGGGCTGCAGGCCCGGTCTGTGAAGGTACTGCTGCACCTCCCGCACGACCACCCCTTTCATGGCCGGGTGCTTCGCCAGAAGCCTCTGCAACAGGTGGATTACCTGGAGGTAGAATGTAGGGGAGGGAGGGAGGGTGGAAAGAGGGAGCCAGCCCGTGAGGTGCCAAGACTTACATGGTGGGGAGTTATGTACGAAATATCACGCCGGGCAGTCTCACCAACTTGAAACAACGAAAGCAGCGGCGGCAGCAGCAACAGCAGCAACCATGCGAATGAGGTCTTTTCACTGGCAACCGGTCAGCGCGGTCGATGACAACAAAGAAAACAAACATACACACACACTCACTCACGGGGTCCCAGACCATCGGAGCCTTTAATATACAAGAATCTTGTGTTTTCAACCGCCCTGACCTTAGCCCTGAGCCTTACGCATGTTCATTGGTGCGTCGGGTAGCGCGGTAGATGCTCATAATCATACACAAACACACACACACACCCTCACCGAGTCCTAAGCACGTTGTGATCTTAACCGCACAGAGACTTGACTTACCTCTTTTTCATAGGTCAGCCGGTTATTGCGGTCGATGCAAATAATCAAGCACACACACGCATATAAGGCACAGCACCCGAGACGAACGAACCTTGGAGCTTATCTTCCTGTCCGGGTCTCCGAGCTTGTTCACAAGGAGCGCCAGCAGCCGCCCCTCGCCTTCGGGCTTGGCCTCCAGCAGGTCCTGCAGGTTGCAACGATAAAAACAAACAGCAAAAAAAAATCAGAACACCCACGAGACCAACCTGTTCGTGAAACCGCCTCGCAGGTTTGGGCCCCTTCCAAAGCCATGAAACACAAACCAAATGTCACGTGCTCGAAGTCCCACTGAAGAGAAAAATCTGAAGACGGCGTAACATTGAAAAGAAAGAAACACCTAACGAGGGACACAAACAAGAGAAATTTCTGTTCCAGATAAGACAAGAAGAGGGAGAGAAAAAAAAAACTCACCTTGGCCGCCTCTAGACTGAACCTCTTGAAGTTCTCCACCGTGTCCCTCGAACCGGCCTCGATCGCCCCGACTAGGCGGTAGAACCTGTTCAGGATCTACGGGGATCGGGGAGGAAAATCGCGCGCGGGCGCAAGAGGTATAGGCTAGAAGAGCACGTGCACACACACGTTTTTTTTTTCCATGAGCGATCAGAACGAGGTCCATAGGAAATCGCCGTTTTTTCAGTACACCTCGCCGCCGTGAGGTCACAATCATCGTCCCGACATGTAGTAGAGGACCCTCAACATGGCGGGATCTACAGGGGCGGGTGGCCGGCATCTGTAGGGCGGGTGAAAGCTCTTGGTGTTGCGTATTTGTCGATTCGTTCCACTTCTTGTTGCGCCACTTTACACACACCTTGCGGTGTATGTGTTTGACGCAGGAAGGTCAGACAGGGGCTTCACTTTACTTACAGTTATTCTACTAACCACACGCCTTCGTTTCAAGCCGCCCGCACACCTGATCCTCGTAGTACCACATCAGGAGCGCCTTTCCGGCCGCCTTGCCCCCGGGGCTGTTGACCCCCCGTCCCCCCCCCGGGACGCTGTCACCCCCTCCCCCCTGCCCCTTGTTCCCCTCCTCCGTCACGGAGGCTAGGGCCTGGAGCAACGGGCGTGTCTCGAAGGGCACGAGTTTCCTAGAGTCCGGTAGAAGGTTGGTGATGAACAGATCCTTGAGGGCTTCCAGAGCCATCTGGGCCTGTACGGGTGCGGAAAACGACAGAAAGACGACAGGGGCAGCAGCAGCAGCAGCAGGATTGCCATCATCACCATCAGTATCACGCCGGAGCAGCAGTAGTAGCAGCAGCATGGCAACCGACATAATCATCGCCATCAGTATCACGCCGGAGCAGCAGTAGTAGTAGCAGCAGCAGCAGCAGCATCGCAATCGACATAATCATCGCCACCAGTATCACACCGGAGCAGCAGCAGTAGCTGCAGCAGCATCGCAATCTACAGAATCAGCATCGCCAAGCAGGATAATCACTAGCAGCATTAGCACTAGCCTCAGCAGCGGCAATAGCATTCACATTGTATTGGCATTCATTAGCTTCGCTTCCGCCATAAGCTCAGCAGCATCGATAGCATTGGCAGGAGCTTAGCATTAGCCTTTATAATAGCAACAGTGCTTGAAACGCAGCTTACCGTGCGCCTCTCTTTCTTGAGGCCGAGGTCCAGCAGACCGTCCAGCACCGCCAGGCGGTGAACCGGGCTCTCCTGCACCTGGAGGGTCAGCGCCGCCACCTTGTCCGACAGAGTCCCGCCTCGCAAAACCTGCCACACCCCCCAGAAAACATCGCGTGCGCCGTGGTCCAAGTCGAAATCAGCTTTTGGTAGTTCTAACAAGACGATGCCGGTAACTTCTTGTGACTTTGGCCTCTTAAGTGACGTAGTAGTCTAGATTGACACCAGCGTTGATTTTTCCGCGTCTTGATCATTATGTTTCCTTCAGTTGCTTTCCCCGCTTGTATGTCCGCAATCTTCGACCGAGGTGGAGTCTATCAGGGCAAGGACAAGGGCGTGGGGCTCAAACATCACCCCCCTGCCGTGACACGCTCCAACTAAGGTAAGCTAGCTGGGCCTCGAGGTGAAGGGCTAGCTCTGGAGCACGTGGAGCCTTCACTCCAAGTATGCCTTTCGTCCGAACGGAGCAAAAAGGGCGCGATACTGTAGGAGGACAAGAGGCTGGCACGTCCACTTCGCGAGGAAAACAAGCCATAGAAACGTCGTGCATACCCACGTACATGGAACTATCCTGCGGACCTCCATGTGCTTTCCCAGTGATTGCACCTGCTACCACCGTCTACCGTCTCTTCGAGGTAAATCCATGTGCTTGTTCCGGCGAGCATCAACCACATGCATCCCCCCCCCAGAACACGAGTCAACACCATGCATTTCTGCCGTCTGCTGAGCATTCTCAGTGCTAACGAGGAGGGTCATTGCCCTACACAGTATGGCATCATGAAACGGTTGTATGCCGCCCTCCGAGGCGGTTGGCGAGCGAGCAACTCACAGCCCGAGCACCAAAACAAACGGAGACATCAATCCTGAGGAAAACAAAAAATAACAAGCACAACCACTAACCACGACATCAGCATCGTCATCAGGAACAGCAACGACCACAGACACAACAGCTCAAAGCAACCACAATCACCTACTACCACCACCACCAACAACAACCACAACAGCAGCAGCAGCAGCACCACCACCACCACCACCATTTTCACCTGGGCCACCCACTTATCATCCCCGCTAGCGTGCCTCTCCCTTTGCGCCGTCCACGCCGCCACCTCCGCTTCCAGGAGCGCCTTGCCCGCGGCGCGTGCCTGTGACGTCATCGCGGGGGAAGCTGTCGAGGAGGAACCCTGTCGCAGAGGAGGATGCGCCGCACAAAGCAGCAGGAAGGGGGGTCGAGAGTGGGAGTAAGGGGGGGGGGGGGGGGATTAGGGGAGGCGGAATAGGGGGAGGGGGTTTAGCGGAGAATAATCCCAACGGCGAAGAATTCAGGAAGATTCTGGAGACATTGCATGTATGCCGAAACCCGGAACGAACATACATAGGGTCACGACATACAACCTCGCGGCTGGGCGCATGGACTTCGCGTTAAACGCTTCCTCTCAGGAACAGCTGTGTGAGTGTACTCCCTACTGCTCTCCTCATTCCGGCTTATCTGCAGGTGTCATGCCAATTTGGGTTTTTCGCGTTTTCCAGAGTTTCGGGAAGGAACACTTCCTGTATCCCGGAGGGGACACGTGTGTACTCGAAGTACACAAAGAGGTGCGCTGAAGCGTACACACATACACTCTGCAACATCAACATGTACAGGAGGCGCCACCTCTGAAGAACCTGGGGCTGACAACAAAAATCATACACAGGAGAAATAATTCGACTAATAATAAGCACAGATGCTCAGCGAAGAACCCTAGACAAAAACCTAGTATGTTCGGAGGAATGTGCTCAGTTAAGAACCCTAGACAAAAACCTAGTATGTTTGAAGAATGCGCCAAGTTAAGAACCCTACACAAAAACCTAGTATGTTTGAAGAACGTGCTCAGTTAAGAACCCTACACAAAAACCTAGTATGTTTGAAGAATGCGCCAAGTTAAGAACCCTACACAAAAACCTAGTATGTTTGAAGAATGTGCTCAGTTAAGAACCCTACACAAAAACCTAGTATGTTTGAAGAATGCGCCAAGTTAAGAACCCTACACAAAAACCTAGTATTTTGTAAAGAATGTGCTCAGTGAAGAACCCTACAAAAACCCAATATGTGAGAAGCCCCCCCCTCCAAAGGGAAAACAAGAAAAGCCTCTTGCCAAGACAAGAGGTTCTTAAGTGGTGGCGCGCCTTGTGTGCTGTGACGTACATTCTCGACGGCTTTCGCCTTCCCTGCCTTGGCCTTCTTGCCGCGTTTGCCGCCGCCGGCTTTGCCACCGAGCGACGCGGGGACGTCTTCGTACCAGCTCCCCTCGCTGACACACCCAGTCACAGAACGGGCGCGCATACACACGCACACACACACAAAGAGAGAGAGAGAGAGAGCGAGAGAGAGAGAGAGAGAGAGAGAACGACACGGAGACAGAGGGAAACATGAACACGTCAGCCTGACGCAAAAAAAAACTGGTACCACAGCGACCACTAACTAACAGCGTCTTTTTACAGTTCCACAAAAAAAAAGTCTTCTCATCGTCACCTGTCAGCAACGGGATGTTTGAGGCGGATCCCGCCAAACGGCCCCAAGTCCGCTGGCTCTCCCCACGCCCCACCTCCTCCTCCTCCTCTTCCTCCTCCTCCGCGCCCCCCGCCGCCGCCCCGCCCGCCGCCCCGCCCCCCCTTCCCGTCATTCCTGCTGTCCCTCTTGAAATCTACCTTTCCACCGCCGCCACCACCGTGCTGTTCTGCGCCGCTTTCTCTTCCCTTCCCGCCGCCCCTTCCTCCCCTCCCGCCGCCCCCCCGCCAGCCACCGGCCCCTCTCCCACCGCCGCCGTTTCCGTTTCCGCTGCCCGAGTCCCTCCGCGCCGCTGCCGCCGGTGCCGTCGGTGCCGCCGCCGGCTTGGCGGTGCTTGCTCCCGCTGCTGGTTCCGCGCCGTCACCAACAGCTGCAGCGCCGGAGATACCAAGCTCCTATGTGTGTTCGCAATGCGGAAAGGCATGTGCAAGGCTCGTTGACATGGCAACATTTTCAACAGGTGCTGTCTTTTCGTGTCGAAGAAACAGCGAACATGCAAATACCACCACGATCACGGCCGGGCGGCACCCCGCACGCGGTGAGTTCACCCCCCTTCTCTAGGATATCTCTCACGTTCGGGTCTGTGCTCCGCGAGACGCACTGGCAGACAGGTTCGCGACCCGCACGCAGACACCCCGCAATCGGTGCCCATAAAGCGGCCATCGCAACTAAAACAAAAACAGGCCCACAAACGGAAAAAGGCCCGGCGCGACGGAGCAGTAAACATGCTCAAGGCACAACGACTGCAGCAGTTATTCTAATTTTATTTTTTGTTGCAGTAGCAAGTCTATTTCCCGTGCACAAACACCAAACACCCGCTCCGTATTGTAGGAGGGACCTTGCACCTACGGGGTTACCCTGTTTTTACGGGACTGTCAGGTTCGAGTTCTTCATGTTCGCAAAAAAGAGCAACACCGCACCATAGACCCAGACTTAAACACAGCGGGCACAGAGATAGATGCCCGAACTACGCCCTTATCGTGTGGTCACAGAGCTATGACACGGAGCTACGGCTGCGGTCCAGGGGCTACGAGCCTCTCTGCCGCTGTTTTTGGTAGCTGGTGTGTCGGTACGCCCCGTCTAGATTCAAATTTGAGAAGTCGTGGCGGTGGCTCGAGCACCGACTCCGCACTCTCCACGCAGCACAGCCACAGGCTGCCGAAGCAGGCTTACCCCGATGCAAGAGCACCCTCACAGTCAATCCTTACCTGTATCATCTTGAGCGTCTCGCCATGCAAAGAGCTGTCTGCCTTCGGTGCCGCGGCTGCTGCTGCTGCTGCTACGCCACTCGATGCCTTCGAAGGTCGAGATGCTTTACCTTTCTTGCCCATTGTGGCCTGCTGGACGTGACTACGCAGGGCTATGGGCGAAGCTCGGACCTCCTACCGCGGTGCAGCTTCCAGTTGGCTAGGCTGCGGTGATGTTCACAGCTCGCAGCGTCGGCGTGTGATGTGTACTGGTGCTGCTTGTGCTGTCGACTGCTGCCGAGCCAGCTAGCGGCGTGATGGGCAGTCCAATGGGGGGGTAGCACTACATTTTGCGGACCCCCCTGACATGTATTATAGTCATAGTCTTTGCACATGTATGGATGGATGCAGATTGCCTACTTGTCTACTTGTACACATGATACAGACATGATGCACAAGGATATGCACCACATGCTAGACGCCAGCCTACAGTCTTCATGACGTTTATACATTTACCTGGGCCACCAAAAATGAGGAAGGTACATGCGGAGTTCTATTCGTGCCTCCTTTCTTTCTGTCCTGGGGGCGTGGTTGCCATCAAATGTAACTTCACAATAGAAGGATTCACAGCATCCTTTTCTCCGATGCACCGACCGAGAACGGTTGGAACACGCGATGTGCTGTACACGGGATACACAGCGCAAGGCGTTGGGCACACACACTTTTGTCATCTTCAATGTCAACACGAAGCACACCACAACTACACCCAAGCAGCCAAGCGAGAGTAGCAAGGACGTGGAGCTACGCCATGAGAGGCACTCCTCCCCCAGATTTTTTTTTGTCTACAACCACAACCACGCAGCTTTAGTTTCGACCTGCGAACTACGGTATCTATGCAGACAAAGACCGAACATCACCTCTCACTCATCATCTCTCGAACGACAAGCAGGAGAGAAGAAGCGAGAGGCTAGACAACAAAACAATCCACCGGTGCTCTGTACACGATCGATCGCGGGCGAAATCGGCCCATAAACTTGAGCTCTAACCCCCCCCTCCCCCGCCTTTCTCGTTGGAGTCTATTTGTGCCACATGGGAGTTCAACTCCGCATTGCCGATCCTGCCCCCTCCCGCACAACCGCCCTGGTCGACGACTACACCTATTAGACCGGTAACGCTCGAACGGGGCAGCAATCGTTTGAATGCCCCCCGCCCCCGCCCCCCTGGCGCAATCACGAACGCTTGAGCATGCTGTATCAAAATTGCGCCCTGCGACATGGGCCGGCTGCTCCTACGCACGTGCCGCGAGTGTTGTGTTCGTCGATTCTTCCCAAGTTGTACAGACTATACGTTAAAAGACAAGATGGCGAGGGGCGGTGCATGGAATGCAAACATATGCACATGCATGCCAGCTCGGCCGTTTAACAACTTGGAGTTCAGATTGGAAAACAATACAATTGTAGCACAAGGTTACGGAGTACGAATGTTGCTGACAGCAGTCCCATTAATGTGTTCGCGTGGTTTACAACCACCACAGGATATTAAAAGCCCGATTCCTGCCCAACGAACCACGCCAGCTCGGCCGTTTAACAACTTGGAGTTCAGATTGAAAAACAATACAATTGTAGCACAACGTTACGGAGTACGAATGTTGCTGACAGCAGTCCCATTAATGTGTTCGCGTGGTTTACAACCACCGCAGGATATTAAAAGCCCGATTCCTGCCCAACGAACCACGCGCTCTTGCCCACGCAACAGCAGTAGCACACCCGCGAAGCTTTGGAGCCCTGGCACTACCGGCGCAACCCTGCACAGTTTTTTGGGGGCTCAACGGGTTCATACAGCAGCCTAACCATGTTAAAACTCTACTGTCGTGCCTTCTCAGCAGCAGCAGCAGCAGCAGCAGCAGCAACAGCACCAGCACTCGGGGGGGAAGAACGTTCCTGGGACCGGACCGAGGGGAACCCGTTGATCGGAGTCGTCCCCGCTGACTGTGACAGAGGCGGTTGCGGAGACGAGGAAGAAGTAGGCGCGCCTGTTGATCCCCCCGCTCCGCCGCCGCCGCCGCCACCGCCGCCTGGGCGAGAGGTGAAGGGCGTGATGCTAGTACTCCGTGCCGGTTGGCGCAGCCTGAGCTTGCTCACGCTTCCCACGCGCCGGTGACTGCCGCCGCCGCCGCCGCCGCCGCCGCCCGAGTCTACAGATAGCGACGACGATGACGAGGGTCTCTGCGGGCAAGGAGACACACACGAGGGCACCGTGAAATGCGAAGAAGGGGCATGGTGAACGACCAAAAACGAGGACTTCTGATTGGCTGCACGGACGTTGATGAGGATTCAGACCGGCTGGCTGGCACGCGCAAATGCAGAGGGTGGTGCAGGCTGTGTGTTTGCCCGCGGAGAGCATTACTTGCTGTAAGAGGCCCATAGAGGCACCCACTAGCGTCGTGGCGACGACAGCGGCATCGGGTTCCAGTATTCGGCATCGGAAATGTTTTGGCTCATCGAGAACAGGGGGGGCGCACACCACAAAAACAGGGCCAATGGGTACCCAGGGAAGGTTAGCCCGACAGCACAGAATGCTCAACATCGTTCTTACTGGCGGCCAGGATACAGCAGTAGTTATCGCGGCGTTATATTTTACGCTCTCTTTGCGATGACTTGATTCCCATGAGGGGTAACCACTCGCCCAACAAGCGGGCACTCGTTGCACGTAGCGAATCGCTCGTGCGAGTGAATCACACGGGAGGGCTAGGCCTCTTGGGTCATACGTGCTGTTGTTCTAGAGAGCATCACATCATCCGTCGCTTCCACGCCCGACAACCCTTCTCATTTCGTTTATCAAAAGTCCGTGCAATTAATTCACCTTGCAACACTACAGGACACCCCCCCACCCGAGTCAGCCGACCAACCACGAAACCACAGCGTGGCCCCGACCTTTCACAACGATTGCTACATATTTGATGCAATCAACCCTCAAAACCACACCCCTTCCCCCACCTCACCTGCTGAGAAGCCTTCGGCCTCGAGGTTCCGCACACCTCGCACGTTGTCCTGCGGGACTTGTTCGTCAGGGTGCACGCGACGCACGTCCACGTCGTCGCTACCGTCACCGCCTTGTTCCCTCCCGCGCCCCCCCCGTTCTCAACGTCCACGGGCGCCGATGCCACTCCCTGAGACAAGTCGATGGTCGGCAGGGAAGACAATCGATCCCACGTACCCCCCCCGGCGCCGCCGCCCCCGCGGCGATCGCTGCTGTTGCTAGACCCGCCGAGCACAGCCTTGGCCACCGTTGACGGGGTCGTCGACGCCTCGAGCGGTAACCCTTGCTGTGTGTCCTGCGCTTGCTCTCCTCGGCTGTTGCGCCTGGTGTTGGACCCCACCGCCGCCGCCGCCGCCGCCGCCGCCGCACCGCCGCTACCGGTGCCGGCATTCACTGCTGTCGTGGAGGACGGGGGGGAGCACGATTCACCGGCTGCCGTTACGGCCTGCAGGACTCGCTCCGCCGCGGCTACTACCGCGGAGGCAGCCTCTGACATCCTCGCCACCGTCACCGCCGCGTTGCTATCCGTGTCCATGTTGCTGTTGTGGGAGAGAGCGGAAGCCGCCGCCGGGTTGCTGCCGTTGCCATCGACGTCCATGTTGCTGCTCCTGTGGGAGAAAACGGGAGCCGCCGCCACGTTGCTGTTGCGGGAGGAGGCGGAAGCCGGTACCGCACCTGCCGCCGCCGCCACAAACCTGTGGGAAGGGACGAACACCAGGTAATCCCCCGCGCTTTCCGCTTGGTCCGCCAGGGCCACCAGTTCCGCGGGCGGCTCCCGCGCCGTCTCCATCGTCGCGGTGTTGAGGTAAACCGGCCCTTGCTCTGCTGTAGGTTCTCGCACAGGACGTGCCGCCTCCTCCTGACCTCCACCTCTATCCCTATCCTCGCCGCCCCCTCCAAAACCAGCGCGTCCGTCTGCTGCTGCTGCTGCTGCTGCTTCTGCTGCTGCTACGACTGACAGCTCTTGTGTCGCTTCGCTTCCGCTTCTACCGTCGCCGCCGACGCCGTTGCTCTCGCCGACCCCGTTGCAGGCACAGCCGCCGTTTCTCTCGACGCCGTCACCACCGGCAGAGGACAAGGCCCGCTCTCCCGCGCTCTTCCATCCTTCCGTCCGTCGCATCACGCCAGCAGCGGTGCCGTTGTTGCGCACCTCTCCCACCGAAGCCGACGGTGGCATCACGCCGGCAGCGGCGGCGGCGGCTTCAGCGGTGCCGTTGCAGCGCACCTCTCCCACCGAAGCCGACGGCTGTCGTCCTTGCGAGAAGATACACCGCCAAGGCCCGCGGGTACGGACCAGCCTCCCCGCCACGCCGAGGATCTGTCGCCGTCGTGGAAATGGAAAGGATTTGACGGAGTAAGAGCCGCGCTGAGGGTCACGGGACCACGCGTGCGCGAGCGTGGAAGACGTAGTGGAGAACATATCCGTATCTTACAGGAAAAACAAAGTTGCCCTCGGGGAAACAGAGGTTTGGACACCGCATGAAGAAAAAGCATGGGATCGCCTTTGAGAGCTTAAAAAAAAAGAGACGACGGTCCATAGACGCACGCACCTCAGCAGCATCGCCTGGCGCGTCGTTTCGGGAAGCACCGCCACCGACGGCCGCGCTTCGACCGCCAAGGGTGCGGCAGCCGCCTGCATCTTTCCTGATGACGTTACCGCCATCACCAACACTACCGGCAATATCCACGTTTCCGCCGCCGCCGCCGCCGCAGTCCGAATCCTGGCAGACGCGGGCCTTTTTGTTTTCACTGTTGTCACCGCCGTCGGAGCTGGTGCTAGTGATCGGTCTCTTCTTTGCTTTCTAAAAATGAGGCAGCAGCAAGAAGTGCCGGGGGGGGGGGGGGGGGGGGGGGGGGGCCAAAAAGGGGGGGCGCGGGCCCCAAAAAAGGGAAAAAAAGGGGGAAAGGGAAAACCTTTTTAAAGGGGGGGGGGGGGGGGGACAAAGGGGGGAAACCAAAAAGGGGGGGGGGGGAGGGAGGGGGCCTTTGGGGTGGGCCTTCCCCCCCTCCCCGGGCGGCCGAAAATGGGGGGGGCCACAAACGGGGAAAACGGTTTTATTTAAACCGGTAAACCCAAAAAAAGGGAACCAAAAATTTGGGGGCCCTGGCCCCCCCAAAAAAGGGGGGGGGGAGCGACCCCCCCAAAGGGATAAAAGGAA